ATTATTAAGACATTCACCATCGGATGCTAGCCACAGCAGGAGAGGGGTGAGAATTCGTCTGCAAAACTCCCCGTTGTAGAAAAATGGTATCGGCGCTTAAGCTCCCGTAGCCTAACCCATTCCCAAATGCGGCGATCTTACTAACCCCAACAATTACCGACCCATTTTCCCCACATTTGTTCTTTCGAAAGTATTTTAAACTATCATTTCTGACTACCTATGCGCGTTCCTTGAACGCGAAGGACTACTGAGTGACCGCCAGTATGGCTTTCGACCGCGTCATTCCACTGGTGACCTGGCTCTCGTCTCACAATCCTGGTCAGCTCCACTCGATAACTACGGTGAAACACACTTGGTCTCGCTTGACATCTCAAAGGCCTTCNAGGTCTACTGGGGAAACTACCCATGTTCGGGTTCCCTCCAGCGCTCGTAGTGTGGATATCAAGTATCCGAAGTAAGCGAACCATCTCCGTCTAAGTAGATGGGGTTTTATCTCAGCCATTCTTTGTGACGGCTGGTGTTCCCCAAGGTTCAGTACTTGCGCCCACCCTCTTCCTTCTCTTTATCAATGATCTCCTTTCCCAAACTAACCCGATCCATTCTTTTGTTGTTGACGCCACCCTCCACTGCTCTCTCTCTCCTACTGCACTGCTCGCCATGCCCAAACCAACATCGGTCACCGTAGAGCAGCTAATGTGTCACTGAACGTTGATTTCGAACACATCTCCTCCTGGGGCATTGCAAACCACGTTTCGTTCAATAGTTCTAAAATCTCTTCTTTCAATTTCTTTAAAACACCTTTCGTCCCCCCCCCCCATTTATCCTTTGATTCCACACAACTGCGTTCCACAGACTCTGTTTCCCGTCGTGGATTGCCTATAACTCCTTTTACCCTTTTATAGCTAAGCTTGCTTTTTGTGCTGCGCGTAAGGTTGGACTTCTATTTCAAGCCAGACGTTTCTTCACCCTAGCTTATCTTCTATTGTACAAAGCTCAAATCCGCCTCGCTGTCGAATACTGTAGTCACATGTGGGGTGGGGCTTCGTTTTCTTCTCTTTCCCTTCTTGATCGTGTTCAACGAAATGCCATCCAGCTAATCGATGACTTCCCCTAACATATAGTCCGTAGTCGCTAGCCTATCGTCGGGCAGTTGCTTCACTGTCCCTGTTCTACCGCTACTACTTTGGTTTTTGTTCTTCAGAACTTGCCTCGGCAGTTCCTCTCCCCGCAACTTTTACCCGCCCATACCGTACATAGGCATCTAGTCATCCTTATCAGGTTTCTGTTCCCAGGTGTCGTACCTTTCTACTTCAATCTTTTTTTTCCCTCGAACTGCCAAATTGTGGAACACCCTTCCCCTTGTTGTTTTCCCCCAACTTATAATCTGACACATTTTAAATGCAGAATCAATAAACCGATCTTGCGTGAATGTTTCCCCACTCTCCCCTTTACGGTATGCTATTTGTCCATGGGGATTTCCCTGTTTACTGCAATTCACACTATCTAATAAAACACAAACAAATAACCCACCCTTCGAGTAACCTCAATGATCGGATCAGTGAACAAGAACTGTGACCATCATGAATCTGACTTTCCATCTCCTGGTGTGGTCAATAGCAGGATCCTGTGACGTTTTGTTCAAGACAATTTTATTCATAAGTAGTGATATATTGGCATGATTACGAATCACTGAAAACGAGCTAAATCGCTAATCTGCTTTGTTTGAGATATGCTCTGTAGGACTATTCAAACAGTATTTGTTGTAGAGTGTACACATTGCACTGTTATGTGGAGATCCAAGTAATTTGTAAGCTCTTCTAATATATATATATATATATATTATTGCAAACGTTTCACTATCATTCGAGGTGTTTTCCTATGCTACGTACGTGTATTTTACTCTTTCATTGTTATAATTTCAGAAGGCGGTGCCCGGTCGAGGAAAGTCGTTTATTGCAGATTACGGTTACGATATCAATAAGTTGGCATATGTATAACAGAGATTTCATTCGAAACATCTCATTACGATTCCCGGCAGCACACTGGGTAATAAATGGAGCAGTCCGTGGTTATTCTTTGTGGCCCAGCAATTTGCCCTTAGTGATCTTGTTAATTTTGATCGTTGAAGGAAACCGCAAACTGCACTATTTTGCATACTACTCACAAACGTGAGTAGTACCTCGCAACATTGAGTTTAGACTGGGCTGAACAAATAATGACACAAGAATTTATATCGAAGAAATCGGTCCATGACTTGCTCGTGGGCCTGATGCTGCTATGTTGAACAGGATCGAGTGAATTTTCTTGGGGGATACACAAGCGGAACGCATCCGCAAGGCAGAGGGTCGGTGTGTGAAGACCGCAGTCCACCGAGGAGCTGAGTCGGAGAAAATAAATGTCCAGATTGTTCAATACACCTTGATGCCAACTTGAGCCGGTGACCACTGCTACAACCAGGAAAAAGTGGGTGTCTGGTTCGTACACCACTTCTTCTTTGGTTTTGATTCAGGGTTTTTGGCTAGCGGTTCATCAATCCGGTTATACCCTCGGAAGTTGACTTTTCGTCCTCTCACTTTGGTTGGAAATAATTCCACCAAGAGAATTTAGCTGATGTAATTTGAAACTCTTGGTCGCATGAAAGCGTTTTGAGGAAAGGCTGGCCCGCCACAATTCGGTGAATCTACCCCTGACTATGCTGAGGCTTTCTGAGGTGAATCGAATGAATGAACGGACTGAGGAAATCGGCATCGCTGATGAGCCGATCGAAAAGATAAGTATTTATTTAGTCACAAATATAATATTGAGCGTAAAGTAAGTCTATTGAGGAACAGACAGCAATGATGGTTTGTGTGAAAAATGAATGTTTGACTCAGAATTAACAAATAGGAGAGTAGTGAACAGACTCGATCACAATGTTTCCTATAATATAGGGTGAATCATGGATGTCAAAGGAATACAACAAAGAGAAACAATCGCACCTCTGAACTGCCAAGCTGTGAAACATCCACTCTGTCTTTCTCGCAACTTACAAGGTTTCACTCTATAATAACAGAATCAATAAGACGGATACTACGTGAATGTTTCTCCATCCTTCCGTTTACTGAATGCTTTTTGATCATGGATTTCACTTATTGCCGTAATTCACATAGAGGAATAAAGAGAGTAAACCGGTGCGAAGTGAATTGATACCTATTGGATTGATTGGATTCTGTGTCAGCTGTTGTGGGTTATATGCGTCTAACCGTAGTCAACTCGACGCCAGGGACAATTTTCAGTGTTTTGTAACGAGTATCACATGAATGACCAGACAGAAAATTACCGGATACGCATACCTGCTGAGCGACAAGGACCGCGAAACCGATCGGGAAACTTTGTCTAGTCATTCGTACACTACACCACATAAAGCCACTGAAAATTGGCCATAGCATCGAGTTGGCTGCGGTTAGACGCAACACCTGATACAGAATCATCGCAATACTTCTTCGAGAATTGCTCGTCTCTGCGAGCTGCAAATGAGATTCGCGTTGCAGAAGTAGTGAACAGTTGATTAAAATTAATAACTGTCGTATTTGCGGCAGAATTTGAGATGCAAATTACTGAGCTTCCCAATAATTCGCTATACTTGACGACAATGTGTGTTCCGAGTAGAACCCCTGTATAACTTGTTCACGAACTTAGTTTCGACCTTGAGTTTATGGGTAAATCTCTTAAAAGTGTCGCGATTTCCGTATTGATGTGTCTATTTCTTATATTTCAAGCATTTTTAAGACGAGAATCGGACGGCAGTGGTAAAACCGTTGTCTTTACGTACCACATTATGTCTCGAATACAGAATACACGCGAATAGCAGTGGGAAACATCCAGGTGGATGCTTAGCTAGAAGCGATTCAAAAGGTTAAAGATCTGGAAATTAGAGTAACGGTATTATACAAAGGCCTCAGGATTGTCGAGGGTGAGCATCTCGGGTTCTTGCTGCTCACCCCTTACTTGCATCTTACGAAATGCTCCTAAACCACCGGGAACCTTGATGCTACGTCATCAGAAGCAGCGTTCGTCAATGGTGCCCTCTTCCGCCATTCCTGTTCGTAGACGAACTTCTAGAGAACGCAACAAGTGAGTTCCAAAAGCTAGGTAATGGATGGGCAACTGGGGAAAAGCTGCGCGATTTGGAGTACATTAATGATATCATCTGTCCGTTCCAATATACGGAGGACGCGCAAAACGCACTTGATATATTACCAAGAATAACGAGGTAAGCCGTCGTGTGTTTGGGAGTCCATCAGGGATAAACTAGCTAACGTATCTAATTGAGGCTAGTAGGCTTCACTCGCTGGGGCACGTATTGTGTATGCCCAGCTGTCATCTACCGCACCGTGCTTTATCCGCTACGGGCTGAAGGAAAACACGTAGAGGTCAACAGATGACGTAGAGACGA